TATGTGGTAGTTTGGGGGAGCTCACTAAGCTTTGTACTTACAGTTTCAGTTTTGGTTTTAGGTACTTCTGCAAGTAAAGGGAAGAGGTCGGGATGATGGCATCGCACACACCACAGCTTCAATCTTTGTCCTGGGAGTTTGTTTTGATTCATAGTTTGATTTGATACAGTTGTTTCACGACATTTTATTATGATTTGAGATATTTGACGTATGGTTTTATGATACGACGTTCGGTATGTGATTTTTATTATTATTAAAACAAAAAATTTTGGATCGTATTTTTGGATGTTGCAGTATACAACATCGACTAATGGGATTTAATTTCAAAATCCTTGTTCCCTATCTTGGTATGCTTCCCTTATATCTCCCCCAATATTGGATTCTTTTTGAACGATTTTAAAGATTAACAAAAACCCTAGCGTCACAAATGAAGAGACTCGCAAATGGCCATTGATCGTAAGTTTTCTTATAGATTTTCTTTTATAACAATCATTATATGATCTAACCCTTTGGAATGTCAACAGATTATATCATTAACTTACATGCCATATATTTCATGCTTCAATTTTAATACTTATCATGAAAAAGTTGCAAATGTTTTCCCACCCACGGTTGACCCATCCCCCATTTTGTTTCACACCACCACCGGTCACATCCCTTTTTGTGGTTACCAACATCCTGACCTGTGGGCACTCTAACTGTCGTGGTTAGAGATGTGTTGCTTTCATAATCAGCAACTTTCATGTCTTCCATTTATATTTTTCGTATTTGTGTTGATTATAAACTTTTATCTTTCGATCTGCACATGGTTGCTTCATGAATTAGGTTAATTTCATTTATTTTTTGATTTTAGATGTGGTTATATTGAATTTATAGCTTGATGATTTAAATCAAACTAGCTTTATACTAGGGTTTATTTTCTCTGCTCTATAATCACTTGAATTGCCTATAAGCTATTGATTTTCAATGCACACGAAGAACCGCAAAAAGAAGAAATATCTACAACAAAGTGTGACACGTACCACTTATGGTTAATCATTTATCGTTACCTTATTATCAAATCTAATGGTGTTGGTCACCCCTTATGGTGTGCGGTTCTTTCTTTTATCCTTCTTCAAACAACAAGGTTTTGTTAGGGAGAAAATATCTCTCTATCATGCTTTTCAAAGAGATCATCAAGATATGACTATTTCTGACTGGGATATTATTTTCTTTGTATCCTCTTTAACTTTATCCATATTTTTAGTTATGGGGTTTTAGATGGTTATCTAATTTTTTAATTTTATTTTTTTGTTGTTGCAGCTAAAAGAGATGGGGTTAGAGCTTTCACTGGACCACTTAAAAGCTCTTGCTAAGTTCACAGTTTGTATGAGTTTAACTCAAGTAAGAATTTCAAATTTGGACATTCTCATAACCTTTAGATTATCATCAACTCTTAACTACTTAAACAAATGTAGCTTGTGTATTAGTTAACTGATTATTTTAACAATTTATTTCACGGATTCTTCTGTCTACACTTGCATTCACCACATTTGAAATCTCACCTAATGGGTCTACTAGAACATAAATTATGGAGTTCCCTTTTTACTTGAGTTTCGATATATTTTTGTTTATATATGTGTTGGAAAATTAAAGGAAAGGATCTCATCAATATTATTGTTGATATGTTTTTCCGTTGATGCTACAACATGTAAGGGAGCCAAGGTAAATATTATTGTAATCTTTGGAGAATTTTGAGGCAAATATAAAGGTAACATATTCTTGCTCAACTCAGCATATGAGGTATTGCTTACGAACTGTTAATAAATTGAATTAATTTGCTTATTAATTGTTCTTAAATTGCATTATTTTACTTACTAATTGTTCTTAAATTGCATTATTTTGCTTACTAATTGTCCAGACGAGTAGAAACTAAGGATTGCTCTTTTATATTTTTAATATATATATATATATATATATATATATATATATATATATATATATATATATATATATATATATATATATATATAATAATCTTCATGAATAAATATATATCTCAAGTAGATTTTTATCATTTTCCTAATTAATAAACCATAAATGCCACTTACCATATTTTGTTGAATTTGGGTTTGTTTGGCAATAGGATGAAAGCTTAAAGTTTAAAGTCATTTTGAAATTTCAAAAAAAAAAAAAAAAAAGATTATACAAGGTAATAAACGTGTAGTATTGGAGAAAATTCATCAATGACCTGAATGTTGTGAAATAGAGGCACACAAAAGATACCATTAGCCTTTTAAGCGTGTAAATAACACTTCACTTGAGTTTTAGTCGTTCAATATTGGTTACAACATGTTTGTGTTGTGAAGATTTTGAAGAAGGCTTATGTAAATTTGTTTTAGGTGTTTTGAGCCTGAATGATTCAAAATTTGCTTCTGCTTAATGTACGTGGAAAACATTTTCAAGATCATCTTCCATTACTAAAACCTTTATGAAAGAACATTAGGTAATACTTTGTAAAACGAGGGGTATTTGTTACAAAATGGATTTTCTAAATTTTAAGGGTCATTAGTCTATACCTTGTAAGAGTTGGTGTGAAAGTCTTAAAGGTGGTCATTTTTGGTAATTATATCGACCATGTTGGAATCACTAAAAAAAAAGTCCTTATCAGTGACTAATTTTTAGTGACGACCTAAAATTTGGTTACTGAAAGCATCTTTTAGTCACTAAAAATTAAATGGTCACTAATTTTGGTAATCCTATAAATTTAATGACTAATTCTATGTGGTAGTCACTAACTCGGTCACTAAACCACAAAAAAAATTAAATTTCTTTTATTTCATATCATAACAACTAGTTAGTGACTAAAAATAGTGGTCACTATGTTAACAATATAGTGACTAAGAATAATGGTCACTGTGCTAGGAGCTTAATGACAAAAAAAAATAGTAACCAAAAATAGTGGTAACTGACTACAATTATTCAAAACCACATACTTACTCTTTCATTATTGAAAACTACTTAAATGGGGAAAAACAATTAGTGACCACTCAATAGTGGTCACTAATGAATTACAATTAAAAAACAATTAGTGATCATAAAACAATGGTAACTGACTATATATATATATATATATATATATATATATATATATATATATATATATATATATATATATATATATATATATATATATATATATATATATATATAATTTTTAATTAATAAAAATTAAAATATTTTTAATTAATATTTTTTATTTTTGAAAATGACAACAACTTTGTTTTTTTTTACACATAATTTTACAAAAACTCATTACATTGACCGGTCCATACCAAACATATTTACTATGATAATATTTGGAAAAAATTGAAAAAAAAAAAAGAGAAACATTTTAGAAAAAAAAAAGTCTTGGGTTGTATTTATATTTTCAAACCGTACACATGGTGACGACATAATAGTTGTCACTACATGAAAAAAGTTAGTGACTAGAAAATAATGGTCACTAGTATAATCAGAAAAAGTATACAAACGATTTTTTACACAGAGAAACAATGCGACAATAGAGTAACGGTCATTGGATATGAGTTAGAATTTCGGAAATTTTGTGACCATAATATTACGGTAATTGGAAAATTACAAAAGGAAAAGAAATCATTGTTTTACAATTTCAAAGTCATAAACGTCATTTCTATTTTTCATTAATTTCATCGATAAGAAAATTGCTTATAACTTATTAATGTAAAATTACAAAAATGCCTTTATTTTACTATTTTTGATTTAATTATATTATCCATAAGAAAAACTGGCAGAAATATATGCGTTAAATTAGCTTTGTTTTTTTTTTTTTTTGGGTAAGATGGTACACTTTTCAAAGAGTAATTATATATTTGTTTCTTATACAAATTAAATAATCAGCCGTCAATTTATTTTATACATACTTTATATTTTTATATAAAAGCCTTTTTCCAAGTAATAAAAAAGATTACGAGTCGGACCTTTTTACGATCCATTAACCCATCATCGCCATCATTTGAAAATTAGTCTGAAGGGTATACTTGTAAATAGGCAACTATAAAAGGACAACTTGAGGGCAGAGTTTGTTTCATGCGTTGCCAAAAAGGCGAAAGAAATAGAGCAAATTCTGTTATCTATCCACACCAAAATTCAATCTTTTCGCATTCTCTCAATCCTAGATATACATCGTTTTCTCTTAATCGATATCTTTGCTCTTCGAGAAATTTCTCTTGTTTTTTTTGATTCAGAGGTTTTTTCAAAACGAATTTTCTAGGGTTTTTTTTTAAGAATTCATCAGCCATGGTTTACGATTCGATCGCCATGGTTTACGATTCGATCCCGATTGCGGTTTCAAATCCGAAGGAAATTGGCAAGAAAAAGCGGGTACATTTATTGAATTCTATTCAATTGTTTGATTTTATGAAGCGTATCATTTGATTGATGGATAGTTGCGACAGAAACGTGTTGATTTTTTTCTTTTTGGGAAAATAGGAAGTTCTTCTTGTTTTTTGTTACGATGTAACCTGTTTTTTTTTCAATGTTGAAGGTGAATAGGACCGCCAAATTTAAGCAGAGCAAACTTGATGTTCGTCGTGAACAGTGACTTTCTCAAGGTGATTTTTCTCAGTTTTTTTGTGTTTGTATGTGAATTGTTGTATCATGTGTATTTGATCTGATATGTATTGTATGTAGATGTATTGCTCTTATGGTTAATAAAAAAATCTTATAAGGAAGAACAAGGGGTTTAAGGAAGAAAACAAAGGCAATGTTGTTGCAAAAATGCCAGACATGCATACCCCAAACAAGGGACATCGATCACTGGTAAAATTATTATAGTGAAGAGACCGATGGTTTGATGAATCATTATAGTGATTCCAACAACCCTACTAGTTATACAAGCAGCTTGGGGAGTAACAGATCAGTGACTAATTTCACGAGTAGTAGTAGCCGGAGCAGAAACAGTAGCAGTGGTGGTTGTTATTCAGAAAGTATGACAGAAGAAGATGATGGTGACGATGGATGCCACCTTCGAATTGATTATCCCCACTCCTTCTGCTAGAATGTACGTGGATATTTTAATTGTAATTACATAATTGGGATTTTTTAGGGTGTTTGTGTATTTTGTATATGGTTGTAACCATTCATGACAATTCTTACACCTTGGAGGTTTTATTATTAGTGGTTACAACAGCTAGTACACGCTTAGATGGCAAGTTTTTGCTTTGTGGTGGAAGAGACATCTTGTGGGTGTATCCACAATGCTCTCTACTTCCTTCAATTATATCAGCATTGTCTTTACCCTCATATCAAAGCCTTTATCTCATGCTGCACAAGAGCATTTGTAACTTATTCTACAACAGTTTTTTTTTAAATGTAATTATCTTTTTATACTCTTTATAAGCTGATTATTCTGACATGCATTTTCTTTCAAGTTTACAGCCTGCACTGGACAAATTGTGAAAATGTTCACTAACCTTAATGGTGCATGCAATGCTTATGTATCCTAATCAACACAAAGCTTGAGATCACTTCTAAAAGAACAAGTACATCTCATTACTTTCATCCAGGCTATTTTATTCTTTTTTTTTCCCAACTTCTAACTCTTTTTGTTACTATGTATCGAAGGAAATCTCTTTCAATATGCCACTTTGCAATTCAAAGTTAGATTTATGAGTATTCATTTATATAATAGCTTATTCATTATATAATAGCTTTTTTTATATCTGATATCAGGTGGATATACAAGCACTTGCACATGCTTTTGAGCTTACAAGACAAGGGGCAGTTGACAGCTTAAAATTTGCAAAGGGTGATCTATTCCAAGCATTTCAGGTAAGCTTACATTATAATGGTCAATTAGAATTGCTACTCATTCTATGAAATGACGTTTTTAACCCTGGATGTTAATAGAATGAAGTGTGTCAGATGAGATTAGACACCACCATGCTTGATGAACTTATTCATGAGTATTGTGTGTATAGGGGCATTGTCGGTGCTCCAAACCCTTCATGTAAGTAGATAAGACTCTATTTGGTATGATGGAAATCATGGAATGGAATCACAATTAAATTGAATGGAATTGGATCAATTAATTTTTTTTTTCTTAGGTGAAGGAATGAAGATAGGACATGAACCATCAGAATCGGAATCCACTTTATCTGTTGAAGCCAGAAATGGATCCAATAAGCTTGCTAATGCTGACATGGATTCACCTGGCACTGAAGAATGATACCCATGTGGCACAATGAGCAACAACCATGAAGACTGTAGTACAAGTGGCAACAAGTGAGCAACAACCATGTTTTTTTAATGCATTTAGCTTATGAACTTTTAGGTTAACTACAGGATGTAAGGAGAATTAATCAACTTCCAATCCCTATTACAATATGGAAATAAAGGATGCGTATCTTACTCCCTGGATGCTTAGTTGTAATTAAGTTGAATGGAAATGCCATATGTAGGTGGTTACAGTCATGAAATACACTAGTTCTAGTAATGTTTTGTAAAGAAAAAATGAGCAAGTTTCAAGATAATAGAACACATTTATTGGAAGCTAATATGAGGTTTGATTGATTGTATTGGGTTTGGTTTAGTTATTGTAATTTTATTAAAACATTAAACATTATCACTGAAATAATTAAGTATTTTTTTTAATTTATAGCAATTACATCAACATTGTAAGTATCGTCTTTTCTTGTATTTTTCTGATTAGTGACCACTTTTTTGGTCTCTAACAGTAAATATTTAGTGACCACTTTTTGGTCACTATGGTCATTAATATGGTAATGAAAACCAGTGACATTTTTGTGGTCATTAAAATTCGTCACTAAATGAATAAAACAGTGACGACTTTCTTCAATAAGTGACAATATTCAGTGACGAAACGGGTCGTCACATATTTACTGACGAGTATATTTTAGTCACTATTTAGTGACCATATTCAATATTGGTCACAAATCGATTTTGTGACGGACCTATAGTGACGAAAAGTGACGACTGTAATCTTCGTCACTAAATCATTTTGTGATGAATCGTTCTACTGTTAGTGACCATTTCGTTTTGGTCACTAATTGGCATTTTATTTTGTAGTGAATTTTGATGGAGCAATTGCAAAGATTGAAAGATTATTGTCTTGATTATAAAGATAAGCACTTAAATGGTCATAAATTTTGTTTGATCTTTTTTTATTATTTTTTTATTTTTTATTTATTTATTATTATTATTTTTTTTTGAGGATTCAAATAATAACAATTAGATTGGAGAGATGGTAAATATGCGGTAAGTTTCAAAAAAGAGTTGATATTAGGATCTTCTTTCTTCGTTCAATTATGATTTGGAAAGAAAGAAAAGAAATGTGGAATGAAAATGTCATTGGTGTTATTTTATTCACCCCAAAAAAAAAACTTAGTGAGACTCGTAAATATTATTTTATTCCTAAAAGGTAAATGTTATAATTTTATTAGACTCCAAATATTTTATAATCAATACAAAAAATTCTAGTGGTTATTTTATTGATTAAATTTAATTTGTATAAATTCCTTTATTTATGTATTTTAATTTTTTGAACATAAGTTGCGAGTTTTTTTTTATTTAAAGTAGAAGGTTGCATTATTTATTTTAATTATGAATTTACACAAAAATCTGTTATACTATAAATTGATCAAGATACTATCATATAAGATTTGGCTAAAAGGGTAAATACTTCTTAATAGATGAATCAATTTAAATTAAAAACGATAAGTATTCTGACAATATATATCTAATGTGAATTACTTATTTATTATCTATAGACGAACAAGTCAATATATTTTAAATGTGGTTCCTTATTAAATTTTTTTCTCCTTTTAATAATATTGGTTAGCATTGTTAAGTAACTATCAAATTATCATTTTAACCATATTAAAATATGATTTGTGGTTATTATTTTTGCTTTTGTTGTTCAAATTATACGATGTTTGAAAAATGATTCTAATTATCGTTTCAAAATATAACAGTATGTATAAATTTTTGTTCCTTCAAATAAAACATGTTTATGAATGAAACTAATTGTCGAAAGAAGCTATGCACCGCTGCCGTATTGCGCAGGTAAACGGTTAATATATATATATATATATATATATATATATATATATATATATATATATATATATATATATATATATATATATATATACACACTAGGTTATAACTCGTGAAAACCACGATTGTTACTTTTATAAATATTATATAGATAAAAAATAAAATAAATTATCAACAAAAAAAAGTAACATAACTTTGATTTTAAGAAAACATGAAATAATATGAAAATCAAATAGACATAATAGTTTAACATAATTATGAAATACTTCTTTGTAAGCTATATTGGAAGTTTTATAAATTAACAACATCAATTATTCTTTGCTTTTTATTCTGGATAAAATAATTGATCGTACGTGAATACTTGTTCTTGCACAAACAAACTAACCTTTGAACAGGTAGACATTTTTTTTTAATTTTTTATTACCAAAACATATTTTTCTAATCTTTCTTTGCTGTCGATGTTAGTATAATACATGTCCTCATTTGGTTCTATAAACAATAATAATGTAGACAGTTAACAGTTATAAGTAAACAGTTAACAGTTATAAGTAACCGTAATTATAAATTAAAATAACCAACGTAATTTTTTTAATTTACTTAAGTCGTAAAAAAACTAATTAAAAGTTTACCGTTAACATTCATGTTTGAAACATGTGTAATATGTGAATAAAAAGATATTGATGTTGTCACACACACCCAAAACCAGAACGGCGAAAACGTTCGGGGGCGGATGATTTCATGTGGTAACGTAACAAATGAATACATAGTAAAGAAAGCAATACAACCATCATATATATAATTGAAAATTTACATTGTTTAAAAGTGTACATGTTCAAAATCAATTACATAATGATGTCAAAATATGAAATTAAACTGGCGCCGCAGCGTTCCTTCTTCAAAATATGTTTGTTACCTGTAATTACTGAATCCCTGGGATATACAAGTAGTTTTGAAAGAGTAAGTCAGCATTTAAGCTGGTGAGTTTCGTAAGTATTTAATGACAATGTTTGTATGAAATGAAATATTTTTGTTCTTTTTTGCATGTTCCTAGAAAATCCTATATTTTCTACTAGTATAATTGTAACCTTCTTTCACGACAATTGCTTGTTTCTAGTAAATGTATGTAAGTATAAAGATTTAAATTTGTCCGAAAAACTCCGTAAATCATTGTGTTTTAATACCCCATGTGAGTTTATAACCATACTATTGACAAGGAATGCCTATACACAACGTTCTTCAGGCGTTGGAATGTTCTGACGTTTGTCACCCCAAAAGATGGACTTGATGAGAATTGTTATCGAGAATTTAGAAAAGAAAAGATAGATTTGAATGATTTAAGATGAAGAACACAGAGAGTAAATATTAATCAGATCTTATATTGATAAAGACTGATTACAAAGTTAAGCAGAAGTGAGTTCTAGCATCGTCCTACAACTTCTAGCCTAAGTCTCTATTTATAGGGAACAACAAAAAATATACTAAGTCTATACATTTTAACTTCGCACAAAAGATGACTTAGTAAAATAACATAAAATGCGAAACTATACAAACACTCTATTCGACTTTTACAACATACATCAACAGGACTGTAGTTAACAGTCAGGGCGCGGGTTGTCAAGCCCGTATAGATCTATACACAAACACCATGCTCCCCCTCTAAGGGATTCTGGTATATAATACAAGACTTGAAATGTGTACTCGAACGTACGTGAAGTTAATGTCTCACAAACTTAGTATAAAACAGATTTACGTGTGAAAATCTTCGTTAGTTATTGTATATGAAAGTAGTTTATCGTAGTAGTATTTCCATGTATGTAAAGTTTGTAGTATTCTCGTGAAACTATACCTATTATAGCTTCCTAAAAGTGTGCTTCATTTGTTAAATAAACCCGTAATGAAAATGTTCACTTGTTATGAAAAAGTGTAGTTTTTGTAGTGCCAAAACCGACACACCGAATGTAATGTAATCAAAGTATCTGATTTATATAAATACCTACATCGTTTCTCATTTCACAAGATAAAATGTTGTCGTGTTATACTTTTCATATAAAAGATTTCCTTTGATAGTTTCAAATCACATATGATTCCTTTGATAAAACGCGTAAAGTGAAAGTTTATATAACACCCGATAATAGCCGACTGTTTTACTTGTATCCCCCCCCCCCCCCCACTCCCTTAAAAGCATGTAAAAGTACTCATAAAGCATTTAAAACATGAATTATAGGGGTATGAACTCACTTGTAAGATCGGAGATTGCGAGATGAAAAACCGGACAGGGTTTCGGCTTGCGAAAGTGGATTTCCTCGGGATTCTCGGGAATCTCTGAGGCACGAACGACCTTCGGGACTCGAGCAAAGTGATCGGGGCTTCAGGGTAGTGCGGGAACAGAAATCGAGGCAATATCGTGAGAGAAATGAGAGAGATGGGGTGAATTTCCCGGAACCCTCGCATCTCTATTTATAGGAGGCTGAGAGGCCTCGTTACGCGGGGCGTACGCACGTACGCTGGGCATACGCGTATGTCATGCGTGACCGAGTCCTCGACTGCCTCGGAGCTCGGATGGGACGGGTCGGTGGTTCGCACAGGCGCGACGTGGACGATCCGAGGCCAAGGCCTTCGCGTACGCGGGGCGTATGGGGTTACGCGGTGCGTAACTCGGATGAGTACGCTGACTCCCCCTTCGGATAATACCGGATTTTGATTTAAATAAATATATAATTTATTTAATAAACTTCAAAAATTCATATCTTCTTCATACAAACTCCGTTTTCGATGTTCTTTATATCCCCGCGAAGGTGAGACCATACTCTACAACTTTCGTTTAGATTCCGTCGGCAAATTCCGAAATTATTTTTATTATTTATTTTTAAAAGGTCGCGGTAAGAAAATTTCTTTAGAAATTCATAACTCCTTTATCTGACGTCGGTTTTTGCCAGACTTTTTACCGTTGAAATACCATTGATGAGACCTTCGATTCTCGTTTAGGTCATTCCGGCCAAAAGTCGCTCGATCTCTGATTCGAGTTTTTAGTCGTCTACCGTTAATCCGAACTTGAAAATTTCCTAACTTTCTTATACGAAGTCGGATTCGAGCGTTCTTTTTACGTAAGATCATGGTTTAATGACATCTATCATAAAAGGTAATTTAATTAGTGATTTTTGGACATTTCATTTTCGAAGTAAATTTTATTACAACTAACGTGGTTACAATACTTGACTTTTTAGGTCGTTTACATGTAGTTGAAATATCGGGTTGTCACATCATCCCCCCGTTAGAGGGAATTTCGTTACGGAATTTAAAGCAAGAAAGATACAAGTGAATCAGAGAAAAAGATGCGGGTACTTTTGTTTCATCTGGTCCTCACGTTCCCATGTGAATTCAGGTCCTCGCTTGGCGTTCCAGTGGACTTTCACGAAGGGTATGCGATTTTGTTTTGTTTGTTTGACCTCTCGATCCATGATGTCACACCCCAAAACCAAGAACGACGGAAACGTTCTGGAGCGGAGTACATCATGTAAAGTATCACAACACAGTAAATG